CGGCAAATCAAAGACAAAACGCTCAGGAAGAAGGTTGTGAGCGTACGGTATGCACTAACGGAGCCCACATTCAAACACTACCGTGACGAGATCAGACTGACAAATGCAGATGCATTAAGATGGATTGATAATATTCATAAAGAGAAATGGACAAGGGCATATGACAATGAGGTGCGATGGGGCTACATGACAACTAACCTCGTTGAATCAATGAATTTTGTTTTCATGGGAATCCAAAACCTACCAATAAATGCCTTGGTAAAGGCAACACATTTTAGGCTCGAGACACTCTTTGATAACAAACGTAAAAAGTGGGGTTCAATATTACAATCTAGACAGCTATACAGTAATAGTTCAATGAAATTCATGAAAGACGAAGCTGCCAAAGCCAACACACATGTGGTCACAATACTTGGCCGTAATAAAGGTTGGTTCAGTGTTGCAGAGTCAATTGATCACAATGAAGGGAGGTCTAGAGGATGTTACCGAGTGGAACTGGATAGAAGTCGGTGTGACTGTGGAAAGTTTTAGGCATTTCGTATTCCTTGCTCCCATGTTATAGCAACATGTTTGAAGGCTCGTCAGGACCCAACCAACTATCTTTCTGTTGTTCACCAAGTGATAAGTCTCTGCAATGTCTACGGCAGTAGCTTTCAGGCGGTGGCAATTGAGGACTATTGGCCTCCATACGAAGGCGAAATTTTCTGGCATAATGATTTGATGCGAAGAAAGAAAAAGGGTCGCCCTAATAGCACGCGTATTTGAACAGAGATGAATACAACAAACAAAATGGTCAGATTATGTAGTTCGTGCCGGCAACCAGGACACAATCGTACAAAATGTCCCAATGTAGGATCAAGCACAATATCATAGTTTCTAATCTAACCGTGTCTCTTTAAATCAACAACAAATTTCATTCCATTGATAGCATACTTAAGCGATTACAATTAACAGTAACATAAATTAAACAAACATAACTTAATATCAAAATAACAATTAGAAAACAATAACAACATAACCTAATATCAAAATAACAATCCAAAAATAACAACAACAAGCTCATATAAAACAACTAAATGCATCAACTTGTCTAGGATATTACAACCATCAAGGTAATCTTCTTTGGTGTTAACATCATCATAAAGACACCAACATCATTTTCCATTTTTCTCCAATCACAAGTAACTCCGTTTCTCCCTGACTCCTCAACTAGCCTCTCAATTTTCCTAATCTTTTCACCTACAACAATATCTCCTTCTAGCCAGCGGTTCAGTTCCCTATGCAAATGCTCCAAAGTCTGTGTGTTCCAAAGTAGGACCTTCATCGAAGGCTTTGTTGTTGAAAAGTAAATTAGGGAATTTCTTTTCATTAGAGGAAATGTTGAAAACGATTCCTCCAATGATGATGACGACGACGATGAACGTTGATTTAAACATGCAGACATTCTAGACTGATTTGAAAATTATGAAGGGTTCAGCCTATTGGTGATAATTGTTGTGAAAAAAAATATAAGTGTGCAGTCTTATTTATAGAAAACTGAAATAGTACATGTCACATAGGCGAAATTACCCTTCATGAAATTATAACATAAAAAAAGGGCATGTAACTGAGGCGTTATACCATATTGCGCTTTTTCTGGAGACTAGGTTTTGAATTTTAGGGCATACGCCATACCATATGGCGACTCAGATTTGATTTTTGAGAGCTGACACCATATGAAATGGCGACTCAGTTCAAAACAACTTTGATCAGCCATTTCATATGGCACCTCAATGTGAAATCATAACCACTTTAATAATTTTTTTAAATTCCTTGTTTAACTGATATTATTTTTAATAATATAATTATTTTAAAAAAAATTCTCAAAGTTCTCGTATCCGCCATGATTCCAATTAATAGGAGTAATAAAGTATTATTGACAAGAAAGTGCCAAGTTAGGAACGAGTATGGTGTTAATTAATACACTTGGTTTATTTAATTCAACTTGCTTAGAGGATTATATTTTAGTTTAATTTATCACTACCTCCTAGGCCATACCAAAAAAAACCGTCTCTGATAAAAAAAATGTTAAGTTGATAATTTAGCACTTAACATCAATTATCTTGTCCATTCATTCTTCATATGAGTCAGGTACATTGCACCTGTGGGATACATACACAGCTTTGATTAATCAACATATATTATTAAATTTTAAATGTCCATCCATTACCTAAAGTCACGAGAACTAAACTATGATTGATGTAAGCTTAAATATTATATCAATAAGGTTTTATTCATGTGGAATGCTCTGTGCTAGTTTTTGTGTATATACTTGAAATAAATATTTGTTTGGTGTCCGGTTACAATGGCCTAAATTTCCGATAGTCGCAAAGACAACACTGACACATGTTTAGTGCATTCACCTCTAGATTAAGCTTGGCTTGATTCCAATTTTGGAGACACAAAACTTTAGGTTTGATAAATAAATAACAATTGAAAAGATCCCACGAATCTATTGCTCCATAAGTTCAAACTCATACTCCACTTAGTCTCTTGGAGTAATAAAGACAACTTATGAGTTAATAAATGTAATTAATTTTATTGAATTGTATATTATATTCTCCAAAAAAAAATACCAATATATTATACACAATTATTATTCATTAATCGTGTAAGATCCTTTTTCTAATAGAATTGAACAAAAAAAGAAGCTGTCAATGCAATTGACAAAAATGGTTAGATCTTCTGCTTTCCTTAATTTTATATATATATATATATATATATATATATATATATATATATATATATATATATATATATATATATATATATATATATATATATATATATATATATATATATATATATATATATATAAACACTAGCTAGATTCTCGTGCAGCTGCACGAATAAATTTATTTAATACAATAATTTTAAAATAAAAATAATTACATAAACTCAGTTGTATTAAAATAAAATAAAAAGATACATGAGATAAAAAAAAATGAATAATTAATATTTAAAAATAAATATTTTATCTTTTAAATTAAAGTAATGGTTAATTAAAATAAAATATATATTGTGTTAATAATGACATGTGTAATAGAAAGTTTATTTGATACAATATAAAATATATTTATTTACTGATATAAATTTGAAATTAGTTACTTAATTGTAAAATAAAAAATAATTATATAAACTCAATTCATTTAAATAATTATATAAAAAGAAGAAAAAAAATATTTCGCGAGAAGAAGAAAGAAATTTTTTTTTGATATTTTAAAATAATGATTTTGTCTTTCAAATATAAGCAAATTGTTGATTAAAATAAAATAAACATTGTGATGATAATGACTTGTGAGATCAAAAAACTATTTAATATGATATGAAATATATTTATTTGTGATTTAATTGTGAATGTTTGAAAATGAATGTCACATGTCATACTCTTATATAAAAGATAAAAATGTAAAAAGATTAATATTATTTGATTTCTAAAATGCTCTTTTATTAGTGTAAATAATTTGTATAAAAAAGGCAATTTAAAAAATGTATGCAATTAATTTTTAATGAATTGATAGTTGATTATTTATAATTTATTTCCTTCAATAACTATCAAAATTTAAAATTTCTTTATATTTATTAAATTATCGATGTATTATCTATATAAAATTAGATATATTAGTTATTTATTAAAATAAAATTGTTAGTAATGTCAACTTAATCAATATAAAAAGATCCTTAAAAATTAGTAAATTAATTCATTGAAAATGAAAAAGTTAAATTAAATTAAAAATATTTTAAAGAAGTTGTTGATATTTATTTATATTTTATTCTTAAATATATTATCTACTCTTCTCTTTTTATTTATTATTATATGTTATGGAAATAAAAATCAAATTAAAAATGACTGTACACTATTAAATATTTATTAGTCTTTTCTTTCTTTTATTTGGTTCATTTTTCACGTTGTTTTTTATTGATTGAATATAAGACTTAAGGTCACTTAATTGACGAGTGGACATAAATTTTTTAAATTTTAAAGGCAAAATAACATTTTTCGTCCCTTAACTTTAGTTCGGGGTCCATGTTGGTCCCTTATCTTTAAAAAGTGGCAAGTTGGTCCTTTAACTTTTAAAATGGTGTCACGTTTATCCTTCCGTGTGTTGTCGTTAGTCAAACTTTGAAAAAATTGTCAAGTTTGTCCAGGTGGAGCTGCTGACGTGCCATGTTTGTCCAGGTGGAGTTGCTGACGTGGATATGAAGTGTCTTAGAGGAAGAAAAACAATTCTAACGGTTCCATTACCCACCATTACCCAGACCAGAAGAAGGCACGACAAGGTGGATCTGCTTGGAGAAGTGTAATCATATCTTGGAGTTTTGGAGAATTCATTGAGTCATTGAAAACGATTCAAGGTTTGCAGACGCGAAGGATTGAGGGTTTTCTGATTTAGGGTTTTCTGATTGAGGATTGAAGACGATTCAAGAGACATAATCAAAAGGTTAGTTCATTTCTCTCTAATTTAGGATTTTTTTTTTGACACAATTGATAGTTATAATTGGTTTCCTGTAATTCTGCTTATGCATCTTCTTTACCCGTTCTTTTCTCTGTCATGTTTATGCTGTTACACATGTATCAATGGTTTTAAAATCTAGCTAAATTTTAGATATCATATAAACTAAAACAACATGGAGAATAAAAATTTTATAGTCTCCAGAATGGTAAAATTTGTCAAACTTCTTGAGAGACAGCAAACATATTGGCGTGTTTATCATCAGAACAATTTCTCGAATGCTTCAAAGAGATGTTAATTGCAAAATTTGAATGGCTAGTATATAGTATTTTCTGTATATCTGTCTGTAATATGGTTTTATTGTGTTGAAACCTCTTATTTTGTTGAGAAGTGAGCATCAGTTCTTGCTTTACTGAGCATATTTCTTATTCAGCATTTCAAATAAAAAGCTACAGAACTTTTTATGATACTTATGACAAAATTCTTGTTTGTAGGTATGGTAACAGTATGATGTTGCAGCCTTTATTTCCAACAAATAATTCTTACGAATCAAAAAAATTATCTGAAATTACAAAGACTACTTATCAGTGTGATGCAAAAAACCAAAAAGAGGATAGTAACACCTATCTGGTGATTGGTCAATCTGTACAAGTTGATGCAAAATTTCCGAACAGTCGACATGAACTCTTTCCAGCCGCCACCACCGGGGACATGAAAGGAGCACAACTAAGGGACGGCCAAGCTCCTAATGTTGTACCATCACATTCAAAGTAAGTTCCAATCATTTTATTATGGTACATTAGTATTCGACTGGTTAGGTCTTTAAATTGTTGATTGGTGTCTCAAATTTATTTCCATCTTTGCAGATTACATCAACTGCTTCTTGAGGAACGTATTGAGAATGGTTATAGTAATCCAACTCGCCTAGTGAAGCTGAAGAAAAGACAATTGAATGGACCTGCTGTTGAAGCAAAATCTGGGAAAAGTTACATGGAGAAATTTCTAGAAACTCCCTCGCCTGATCCAAAAATGATTTATGAAACTTCAATCTTTTCGTTGTCAGTGAAACCTGCACCAGATAATTCTAGCGAAGCAGGGATTAAAATTCTTGAAATCAGTAGCATTAAAAAGTCGATTGGAGATGAAAACTCTTGTTCATCCCCTTATGAGCCGGAGTCTGAACTTCACCAATTTCCAGAAGAGGTTGGTGAGGCAAATGGAGATCTTGTGATGGTGAAAGAACAAATCTCAGTGGGTGTAAGGGATGTCAAGGTGTCTGATGAAACAGAATTGGAAATCAATGAACAAAAGAAAATAGAAGGCAGCTTAGTTAGGTACAATTCTGATGATGTGACTAGTGAGGTTGACAACTACATGGATGCTTTAACTACCATGGAGTCAGACAATAATAACTCATTCAGTGGAAATGAAGAAGAGCATGTGGAACTGCAAGCTCACTTTTCAGATTCTCAATCTACTGGAAAGTCCTTTATGTCAGATGTAAATATCATTGAGCACTGTGGTTGAATATGTACAATCAAAACCTATTTTATTCTCAACTACTAAATATCATGAAGCGGAGATTGAAGGCATGCCATCCAACCAGCCTCCCAAAATTGTTGAGTTTCAAAATACAGATAATAGAAAGTTTGTCATGCGTGATGATGCCCATGTTCATGAAGACGGGGTTTCTGACTGCTCAGACTGCTCATACTCCAACTCAGACTGCTCAACTACCTAGCCAACAATCAGCCCAACTCAATCATACTCCAACTCAGAATGCTCAACTACCTAGCCAACAATCAGCCCAACTCAATCATACTCCAACTCAGACTGCTCAACAAACTAGCCAACACACTCCTATCAGTTGTGTTAAAAGTTTATGTATTTTGTTGTTGTCATGAACAAGTTTATGTATTCTGCTGTTATTTTGGAACAAATTTATGTATTCTGTTGTTATTTTGGAACATGTGTATCAGTTGTGGAACAAGTCTATTTTATGGAATGTATTACAAGTTTATGTATCATGCTGTTGTTGTTTATGTATCCTGTTATCATGAACTTTATGTTAAAAGCATAACCAACTTATAGGTATTATGAAATGAACCTAAAAGCAGAACCTGTAATAAACTTTATGTATTATGAAATGGACCTGTCATGAACTTTATATTACTACAATCATGTCTAATGTGGTGTAGAAATGCAGATAAAATTAACAGACCAAATTAACATACCAACTTTGACAGGTCTATAACAGACCCAGTAAACATAAAAACATAACATACCAAATATTAAAATTCAACTAAACTGATAGAATCCATATATTAAAATCCAACTATTACATTCATGTTGAAGTGGTACAATCCAAAACTGATACAAACTTTAACTAAACATAAAAACATAATTCTTACCACCAAAACTTAACTTAATTCTTACAAACAAACCATAACATAATACTTCCAAACAAACCATAATAACCTAACTACCCCTAACAACTAATACAATGATAATCATCACAAATATCAAATTCAAAATCTTTTTCCACTTCATGATATTCTTCATTTCAATTTCAAGTTTCATCAGCTTTTTTCCTAATTCTTGATTCTCCATTGTCGCTTTTTCAATGTCCTTTTTTGCTTCAGCAAGTCCCTTAGTTACCACACCCAGCCTATGCATCCAAAATTGCTCCTTCTCATCACCCATCTCCTTATAAAACCAATCAAAGAAGTCACAACCAACTTGCATACCTCCCTGTAAGTTTCATTGTTTAGAGGATGATGGATAATAAACAGAAACATCAAAAAATAGAAACAGAAACATAACTTAACAGTAGTTGCATACCTTATAATTTGGACAACCCCAAAAAAAAATTTCCCATATTCTTAACAGTAGTTGCCCTTTGAAGAACATCTATGTCTCCACAAAGGCACATGGGCTTCCATCGTGACCGACTACAAACATCTGAATCTCGACTTTTCGATTTTGAAATGGAATAGGAACATCCGGATTTCATGCTTGCCAAATAAAAAAACCCTAGATTACTTTAGGGATTTGGGATTGGGATTTGGGATTATTTTAGGGATTCCAACGGAAGGAGGAGGGAGAAGGAAGCCACATCATGAACAAGATTGTCATGTCATCTGCCATATCTACAAAACAAACGGACGTTTGGGGCAAACTGGTGGTGCAGACTAAAATGACACCATTTTAAAAGTTAAAGGACCAAGTTGCCACTTTTTAAAGATAAGGGACCAACATGGACCCCGAGTTAAAGTTAAGGGACGAAAAAGGGTATTTTGCCAATTTTAAACTAGCGGGATATCCGTGCCTTTGCACGGGTAACCGTCAATAACACACATTTATTTATATTTAAAATTTAAAAAAAATTAATAAAAATTAGTATATATAAAAAATATAATTTATATTTACAAAAAAGGATAAGATAGAATTAATATCTGCGGACACCGGTTGATATATTTTTTTAAAATATTTATACAATCATTTATAAAAATATTTTGATGAATAAAAAAGTTGTTCCAAATTATAAAAGTATTTGGATCACGCTTTTTTTTCATATATAAAAATAAAGTAATTCAGTTTTCTCCGTTTCGGTAATTCAGTTTTTCCCGTAGATATATATTAAATTTTTTCTGTGTATAAAAATAACATTTGAAATTTGTTTTCAGTTTTTTACGAAAGAACTGTTTTTTAGTCTCTTTGCAACTTGTACTGCACTAGAGACTTGTGATCTGAGAGTGACTATATCGCATGTCACCCTAAGGGTACCATACTAAGCAGCCAAATTACTGAAGAGTGACCCTCCAGCAACCTTTTCTCAAATAGCTTAAGGCTCGTAACGTACATCACGCGTTATCTTTATTACTGTATTTTTGAATTGTTTTGAGATGAGAAGAGAAAGACGCTCTAAAAAGCCTATGGTTGAAAGGGAAACTAACCTAATGTTATCATGCATGGGTCAAAAACTAATGTCTGTCATAATTTCCTCTTGCACAGAGGAAATCAGAGATCCTAGGGGATAAACAACAAAAGACAGCAAGCAATTATAGTAAACAATAAAATGCATGCAATGCAGCAATATAAGAAAGGCAAGGGAGAAGACAACAGGCAAGTGGAGACAAGCTCCACCTCAAACCTAGAGGTAATCAACACAAGCAAACAGACAATACAGAGAAAAGCAAAAGACACAGAGGGGGCAGCCCAAGCAGCAGTACCAAACTCCTACAGCAAACAGCAACAACAATAGCAAGCAGCAAAGTTGGATAGACAGCAAAGTTGACAGCAAGATTTCATCTTCAAACAAGCTTCCATCTTCAAGCTCCAACAAGCACACTCCAAGAAGAGGATTAATCATCAAGATCAAGTTAGAATGTTAAGAAACTTAATGACAACCAAAGGAAATCACTAAGAACTCAACATTGCAAATGAAAGATATCCTCAAAGTTCTACTCACTTGGGCATACCACTCATCCCTCCTAAGGAGAGATGGAGCTTCCCAAGGAGGACTTTATGTCATTGGATAAAATAGAGGCAAACAATGCACTCCATGTTTGAAGAAAGAATCAAAACTAGATCTAAGGCACTTCCTAAAACCCTAATTTCCTAAGCTCCTAAAAAAACTTCCACAAGATGAAAAGCCTTCAACTCCAAGCTCCAATCCTCAAGCCACAGTAGCTACATCAAGTCCAGAGCATCCTCCAAAATAGAAATCCAAACTCCTCAAGCAACAAGGCCACCAAAAGAGGCAAACAAGGCAAGATACCAAAGTTGGAACACCAAATGATCAACCAAATGGAATAAACCAACAAAAATAGGAAATCAAATTCTAAAACACTAACAATTTTCCTATGGGAGCATGCATAGATTAACATTCTAAGGTTCAAATATCAAAACCTAAATCCACTTCTAGGTTCACTAACAAAATCCTAAGTTGGAACATGTCAAGATGAACCATAAATTGGGAAGGCTTTAATCATCATACCTAAAACAGAACCTATCCACATCTAAAAATTCTAATAAAATTCCTAGGGGAACATATATGTGTTATCTACAACATACTAAAACTTCAAGTCAAAATCATAAACCACCAGAGAGAACTAAAATCATCAAATAGCAATACCAAATATGCAAATTAAATGAAATAACACAAAATAGTAAAATGCAAATTAAATTGAAAAATGCATGAAAATTTCATCTAACAATTCCAGAAAATCACAAATTAAATTAGGAGTATGGCAATATTTTTAGAATATTTTTCTGATCAAAAATGGATTTATTGTGATTTTTGGAATGGAAATGGAATAAAAGAAATAACTAAAATCAATTAAGAAAATAAAATAAGATGAAAAAAAAACGCGCGTTGGATCAGTTGACTAGTAAGCGAATCCAAGGGTTTTCAGCTAACACACGCATGCAGCCACGCAGGCACCCAGTCAGCTGCCATGTCAATTAAATGGAACGCAGCGTTTTGATGAAATGGAGGCAATGCTGAGTTCAAATCTCGTCCACACGATCAGTATACAAAGTCCACAAGTCCAATTGATCTAATGGTTAAGATGTCATCTTCTCCAAAACTCTCAGGCAACCTGGAATGATTCACGGTGGTTCCCACGGTGGAAACAACCGTCTTCTCCGACGAGGCATCCAAGTCAAGTGTCCAGAAAATGCAAGGCTTATACCAATCTGACTCAAATTTTCATGCTGATCATGAATATCACCTCCATTTCTTCTAATTCTCAATGGATATCCAAACACGAATCAATTTCCAAAATACGTCAAGGTTTCCATCAGCACCAAAGCCTAATTTAAAACTATAGGAATAATCCTTATGCTTCACTGATCATCAAGAACTATCCAAATCATCCTAATTCCTTGTGATCAATCCAAACCGTGCTCAAACAGAAATCACATGTCCATCCTAATTGTCTCTAATTGCACCAAATTTGATCCAGAAACGATCCTTAACTCTACTAGATCCTAACAGCATGCATAATTCTAACTACATCGTGATAGATCCATATAAAATTCGAAGGCTACATACCTGGTGTAAATCCTTCAACAGAGGTATCAAATGCTCGAATCAAACTTCAAAACTCTCCAGATACGATCAAGAATGCCAGAGGAAGCTCCTAGCACCTTCAATTTGGCTTGAATTGGTCTTGAACTCAGAAACCGATTTTGACTTGGAAGCTTCAAACTCTAATGGCAGATCTTCTCCTCAGCATGATTCAGTCCCCAACCACGATCCAAACTCATTGCTTGACCTTTATAGAAACTAATAGTGGGCTTTTGGAGGTCCAAATCGAGCCCAAACAGCAAATCCAGTTTTTCTGGTTTTTCTTCAAAATTGAAATGTAACAGTCGTGTATCCCTTGCCATATCTTGCTTTAGAAGCTTCCAACCAGTTGCAAAATCCCTTGTGAATGTTTCTGGACCAACAAGGAGTGTTGAATTGCTTTGATAATTGATTTTGATATGTGACTTGTTCATGAAGTAACAACATTGAAAGT